ACCCTTTGTAGTGTCGTCATGGTCACGTGATCAAAATTCAGAGGCTTGGCAACTGGCATGTACTTACGACAGTTGGGACGGGGGCAAGCCCTTCCACTGGCTTAATTGTTCTCCTTGTCAGGAAATTCGTTTTCTTCTCTCCTTGATGAGTTTCCACCCAAGTTTCTTGTCTTGCATTTAGGCGCTTTGGAAATAGTTTGAAACCCCCTCCCTTCTTCTTTATCCCCTTAGATAGAAGGACAGAATTCTAAATTCTATGCCTGGAGATTCAGAATGTAATGGTGGTAGTAATGGGTGACTGTAGTGTAAAAACTTCTGTTTTGTGTTGTCAGACTGCAGCGTCTCTCTGACCTTGGCCAGACTTGACAAAGCTAAACCAAGCTGTCTACTTCTTGGATGACAGACCAAGTGGAAATTGGTACGATATTTCTCCCCCACCCCCTTTTTTTTTTTAGCCTCTTAAGAGGGTTAGAGATGAGAGTGATAAAATGTTTGCTCAGGCCTTGGAAAATGGGAAAAGGAGATCATCTTAACTCTTTTTGTGTTAAAAACAGACAGGAATGTTTGGGAGATGCTTTCACGGTTGCATTTCCTCCCTCTCTCCTTTCTCTTTTGCCTTCCTTCCTTCCTACCCATCCACTTCCCTACCTACATGCAACTCTGGGGAAATTGGAATCATGAAGGCATCGTTGAATTCCCAGTCCATACAAACACGAAACCGTAGCTATGGGACACAGCTTCTACTTTCACATAATCATCCATTTCAAGGGCACCCCTTTCAAGATCAGATAAATAAATAGGCATGGCAGGGTTTCTGGAAATGCTACTGCACTATGTGTCACATGTTAAGATGGAAAGAAAAGAAAGAAAGATAACAGTTAACAGATAATCAGAGTTGGAAGGGACCTTATAGGTCATCTAGTCCAACCCCACACCCAAGTGGGAGACCCTACACCATTTCTGACAAATGGCAGTCCAATCTCTTCTTGAAAGTCTCAAATGATGAAGCTCCCACAACTTCCCAGGGCAACTTCTGTTCCACGGGTTGATTGTTCTCACTGTTAGAAAGTTTCTCCTTATTTCCAGGTTAAATCTCTCCTGGATCAGTTTCCATCCGTTGTTCCTTGTCTGGCCTTCGGGTGCTTTGGGAAATAGCTTGACCCCTTCCTCCTCTCTATGGCAGCCCCTCAAATACTGGAAGACTGCTATCCTGTCTCCCCTGGTCCTTCTCTCCACTAGACCAGCCAAGCCCAGTTCCTGCAACTGTTCATCGTATCTTTTAGCCTCCAGTCCCCTCATCATCCTGGTTGCTCTTCTCTGTACTTTTTCTAGAGTCTCAACATCCTTTTTATAGCGTGGTGACCAAAACTGGATGCAGTACTCTAGCTGTGGTCTTACTAAGGCTTTATGGAGTGGTATTAGTATCTCACTTGATCTCGATTGTATCCCTCTGTTACAATCAAGATCAAGTGAGGTACTAATACCACTCTATGAGATAGAAAAGGAAGGAATCAGGAAGGGTGGATGGGTGGAAGGAAGGAAGGAGAGGGAGGAAGGGAGGAGAGAAGGGAGGGAAGGACAATACTGAAGTGAAGGCAAGAAGGATGCTGAAATCAAGGAAGGAAGGGAAGGAAGGAAGGAAGGAAAGGAAGGATCTCTCCAGCCATCTGCGACTTCTCTTGCTGCCTCTTCCCCGCTTCCATTTAGCCCCGAGGAAAACCAGAGACAATCTACAGAAGAACAAACACTGCTATTTCCCTGGCCATCTTGCTACTAAATAAGTACAGAAACTTCACACTTCCTCCAGATGAATTTTACTGACACTCTCTCTTCCTTTGAAGGCATTTAAAAAGCAAACTCTTTTGAACAATCTAGTGGAAGAGTGGAGAGAAGCCTTTTGTTTCGTTTCATTTCATTTCATTTTTTCTTGGCATCCTTTCCTTACATAACATCTTGACCAAAATGTGGCCTCTTTCCTGGAGTCTTTACGGCCTCAACCCTGCTAATTTTGGACTAGAACCTGACATGCCATGGCAGAACAAGGATAATTTTAATCCATTGGGACAGGATTTGGCTTTTAACGTCTTCATATTCGGAGGGCAGGATTGTCTCTTATCACATCCGTCATTCCTGGAAATGGATCAAAATAGGCAGAGGGCTTTTTAGTAGTCTAATCAGGTCTTCGGGCTCAAGGTCTCTGTGGCTCAGCCAACCTCCTTGGATTATTTTAATAGGCAAAATTAACCAAGTGGCTCTTGGCAGGACCTTCCCATGGCTGGAACGGTTGACCGGCCAAGGAGGCCGATCTCGGCTGCCCCTGAGGAGGTGGCGTCAAGCAGGGCACTGCTGCCTCTCTGCATTTCGGCAGTTCGATCCTCACCAGGTTCGAGGTTGACTTAGTCTTCCATCCTTCTGAGGTCGGTAAAGCGAGGACCCAGATTATGGGGGAGGGGCAAGAGGCTGATTCCGCAAACCGCTTAGAGAAGGCTGTGAAGTGGTATATATGTCTCAGTGCTATTGTCCAGAAGAACGGGAAACCAATATCTGAGGGGCTGCCCCCAAAGAAGAGGGAGTCAAGCTATTCTCCAAAGCACCTGAAGGCAGGACAAGAAGCAACGGATGGAAACTAACCAAGGAGAGAAGCAACCTAGAATTAAGGAGGAATTTCCTGACAGTGAAAAAAAATCAATTAGTGGAAGAACTTGCCTCCAGAAGTTGCGAATGCTCCAACACTGGAAGTTTTTAAGAAGAGATTAGACAACCATTTGTCTGAAGTGGTGTAGGGTTTCCTGCCTAAGCAGGGGGTTGGACTAGAAGACCTCCAAGGTCCCTTTCAACTCTTGTCATTCTAACTTTTTCTAACAAGGCTGATGCAGAGCTCTCCAAGGTCCTGATTTTGATAGGCTGTAACCCAGGGGTCTTCAAACTTGGCAGCTTTAGGACTTGTGGACTTCAGCTCCCAGAATCCTTCCTCCAGTCCATGTTAGTTCAGGAATTCTGGGAGTTGAAGTCCACAAGTTTAAATTTGCCAAGTTGGAAGACCCTTGATCTATCTATTCTATCTATCTATCTATCTATCTATCTATCTATCTATCTATCTATCTATCTATCTATCTATCTATCTTATCTATTCTACCTCTCTTTCTATCTATTCTTTCTCTCTTTATCTATTCTATCTATTCTATCTCTCCCTCTTTCTATCTATTCTACCTCTCTTTATCGATTCCAGGGGCCTTCAAACTTGACAGCTTTAAGACTTGTGGACTTCCAACTCCCAGAATTCCTCCTCCAGTCCATGTTAGCTCAGGAATTCTGGGAGTTGAAGTCCACAAGTCTTAAAGCTGCCAAGTTTGAAGGCCCTTGCTGTAACCTCATGAGTTGAGATTTTAGTACAGGTAGTCCTTGACTTATAACCGTTCTAAGTTACAACGGCACTGAAAAAAGGGACTTTTTCACACTTAACGACCGTTGTAACATCCCCAGGGTCACGTAATGAAAATTCAGTTGCTTGGCAACTGGCATGTACTTCTGACGGTTGCAGTGTTCCCCGGGGGTCATATGATTGCCTTTGGTGACCTTCTGACTGGCCGAGTCAATGTGGGGAGCCGGATTTGCTTCACAACCATGCGACTAACAAGCGGAGCGATTTGCTTAATGACCGTGGCAAGGAAAATTGTCAACTGGGACAGAACTCAGTTTAAAAATGACTGTCTTGCTTAGCAACGGAAAGTTGGGGCTCTGTTGTGGTCATAAGTGGAGGACTACCTGTATACCTTGCCATGCACTTATACCACAGTCTTTCCAGTTATGTACAATGACACAATCTTCTTGCCTCTAGGCAACCACATCAGTGCTTCCTCCTGCTAGCACTGATGAGGTTCCCTAGCTGGGTCATGAAATGTCTGCAAGAAAACCACCAAGCTCAGAGAACACCAAGGACCCCACAATCTTCCTCCTTCTTTTCTTCTTCTTCTTCTTCTTCTTCTTCTTCTTCTTCTTCTTCTTCTT